TGCCACCGCAGACGCGACGTCTAATTAATCTGAAAACCCTCGACCTATCGCACAATCCGCTGGAGCTGTTTCAACTGCGCCAACTGCCCTCGCTGCAGAGCTTGGAGGTCCTCAAGATGAGCGGCACTCAGCGCACGCTCCTCAATTTCCCCACCAGCCTAGACAGTTTGGCCAATCTCTGCGAGCTGGACTTGTCGCACAATTCCCTGCCCAAGCTGCCCGATTGCGTCTACAATGTGGTCACCCTGGTGCGACTGAATCTGAGCGACAACGAGCTAACCGAACTGAGTGCCGGCGTGGAGCTTTGGCAGCGTCTTGAGTCGCTGAATCTGTCGCGGAATCAACTGGTTGCCCTTCCTGCTGCCCTCTGCAAACTACCAAAACTGCGGCGATTGCTGGTGAACGACAATAAGCTGAATTTCGAGGGCATACCCTCGGGCATCGGCAAACTCGGTGCCCTGGAGGTTTTTTCGGCTGCCAACAACCTGCTGGAAATGGTGCCAGAGGGACTCTGCCGATGCGGTGCTTTGAAGCAGCTCAACTTGAGCTGCAATCGGCTGATAACCCTGCCCGATGCCATTCACCTGCTCGAGGGCCTGGATCAGTTGGACTTGCGCAACAATCCGGAGCTAGTGATGCCACCCAAGCCAAGCGAAGCAAGCAAAGCCACCAGTCTAGAGTTCTACAACATAGATTTTAGTCTGCAAACTCAGCTGAGGCTAGCTGGGGCTGCTGTGCCGCCTTCAATGCCATCGTCAGCAACGCCCAAGGATTCAACGGCAAGAAAGATCCGTTTGCGTCGCGGTCCTCGCAGCGAAGGCGATCAGGATGCTGCCAAGGTGCTCAAGGGCATGAAGGACGTGGCAAAGGATAAGGATAACGAGGCGGGTGCTCTGCCCGAGGACGGCAAGCCAGAGTCCCTGAAACCTAAGAGGTGGGACGAGTCGCTGGAAAAACCGCAGCTGGACTACTCAAAGTTCTTTGAGAAGGACGATGGCCAGCTGCCGGGCTTGACCATTTGGGAGATCGAGAACTTCCTGCCCAACAAAATTGACGAGGTTGTGCATGGCAAATTCTATGAGGGCGACTGCTACATAGTCCTCAAGACCAAGTTCGATGACCTGGGCCTGCTCGATTGGGAAATATTCTTTTGGATAGGCAACGAAGCCACCCTGGACAAACGAGCGTGTGCTGCAATTCATGCAGTGAACCTAAGGAACTTCCTGGGCGCCCGATGTCGAACGGTCCGCGAGGAGCAGGGCGATGAATCCGATCAGTTTCTGGCCCTCTTCGAGACGGAAGTCATATACATCGAGGGCGGGCGCACAGCTACTGGTTTCTATACCATAGAAGAGATGATACATATCACCAGATTGTATTTAGTGCATGCCTATGGTGCTACTATTCATCTGGAGCCAGTGGCTCCTTCTGTTACCTCTCTGGATCCCCGACACGCCTTTGTCCTGGATCTGGGCACCCACATTTACATTTGGATGGGCGAGAGATCGAAGAACACGCTAAACTCCAAGGCCAGATTAATGGCGGAAAAGATCAGAAAGACGGAGCGAAAGAACAAGTGTGAAATCCAGTTGGAGCGGCAGGGCGAGGAGAGTCCAGAGTTTTGGCAGGGACTGGACATGACTCCGGAGGAGGGAGGCGCCGCAGAGGCACCAAAGGAGCACGTTCCAGAGGACTATCAGCCGGTGCAGCCTCGCCTCTACCAGGTGCAGCTGGGCATGGGATATCTGGAGTTGCCGCAAGTGGAGTTACCTGAGCAAAAACTTTGCCATACCTTGCTAAATAGCAAGCACGTCTATATACTCGACTGCTACACCGATCTGTTCGTTTGGTTTGGCAAGAAGTCGACGAGATTGGTCCGAGCGGCGGCTGTCAAGCTGAGTCGAGAGCTCTTCAACATGATGGATCGTCCGGATTACGCCCTGGTGATGCGTGTGCCCGAGGGCAATGAAATGCAGATCTTCCGGACCAAGTTCGCTGGCTGGGATGAGGTAATGGCCGTGGACTTTACGAGAACGGCGAAGTCGGTGGCCAAGACAGGGGCAAATCTCACACAGTGGGCTCGGCAGCAAGAGACGCGCACGGATCTTGCCGCGCTTTTTATGCCCCGGCAGTCGGCCATGCCCTTGGCAGAGGCGGAACAGCTGGAGGAGGAGTGGAACTACGATCTGGAGATGATGGAGGCCTTTGTACTGGAGAACAAGAAGTTTGTCCGGCTGCCCGAGGAGGAATTGGGTCGCTTTTACACCGGCGAATGCTATGTGTTCCTCTGTCGCTATTGCATTCCCATCGAGGAGACCGACAATGGCCCCGAAGATGGTGCGAACCCAGCCGCAGACGACAGTAAATCCAGCGCCAACAATCAACCAGAGGACGAGATCCAGTGCGTCGTTTACTTTTGGCAGGGACGCAATGCCGGCAATATGGGATGGCTCACGTTTACCTTTACGCTGCAGAAGAAGTTCAAGGCTATGTTCGGCGAGGAACTGGAGGTGGTGCGCATCTTTCAGCAGCAGGAGAACCTCAAGTTTATGTCGCACTTCAAGCGGAAGTTCATTATACACACCGGCAAGCGGAAGGACAAGGCGCTCACGGAGAAGGGCAAGTCACCAGTTGAGTTCTTTCACCTGCGATCAAACGGCGGTGCGCTCACTACGCGCCTTATTCAAATTAATCCCGATGCAGTGCATCTCAATTCGGCCTTCTGGTGAGTACTTTTTTGTATTATTTATCAATTTGGTGTGGTTCATACTTAGGTCAGGTTTCTATTTTAAGATGTATGCCATGTACGATTTTATAGGATCAAGATTCTTATCTTATCGTTGCTTAAAATTGAAATTCCAGAAGCCAACGTGACATGCTCCAGTATTATATCCAAAAGATAATGAACATAGTCCATTGACCAAGTGTACACCAAATGTACACTGTACTTTTTTACGCTTTCCATTATTAATATTTGGTGCCTTTTCTTTCAGCTACATCCTCCATGTGCCATTTGAAACGGAGGACGATTCGCAGTCGGGGATTGTGTACGTGTGGATAGGCAGCAAGGCCTGCAACGAGGAGGCCAAACTGGTGCAGGATATTGCCGAGCAGATGTTCAACTCGCCGTGGGTGAGCTTGCAAGTAGGTTCCATGTGTTAAACTGGTCGCGGCCACTAGGCCACTAGGTCACCCACATTTGTCAATTCAAATGATTATGGAATATATGGGTACACGATTTTGTTAATTCCTTACCCAAACAATCCTTTGCAGATTCTTAACGAGGGCGACGAGCCGGAGAACTTCTTCTGGGTGGCGCTGGGCGGCCGCAAGCCCTACGACACAGACGCGGAGTACATGAACTATACGCGGCTGTTTCGGTGCTCCAACGAGCGAGGCTACTACACGGTGGCCGAGAAGTGCGCCGACTTTTGCCAGGATGATCTGGCCGACGACGACATCATGATCCTGGACAATGGCGAGCACGTCTTTCTGTGGATGGGGCCGCGTTGCAGCGAGGTGGAGGTGAAGCTGGCCTACAAGTCCGCCCAGGTGTACATCCAGCACATGCGGATCAAGCAGCCGGATCGGCCAAGGAAGCTCTTCCTCACCATGAAGAACAAGGAGTCGCGCCGGTTCACCAAGTGCTTCCACGGCTGGAGCGCCTTCAAGGTGTATTTATAATTTTAGGCAACTGAAGGAGCATCTTCGAGAAGTTCTTTTATATTTCCCTAATTCATGCACCATCGCGTGGACACTTAGTTCTCCAAATCAATAAGGTGTGCGTTTAATTTGTACAGCGTATAGAGAGCGCCTTTAAGGCGCTAACTTAGTTATACAAATCAAATGGCGCCTTTGAGTCCTGCCAGAACTAGTGAATCGCCTTCGGGAAGTGCATTTATTAACCAGAAGTTGAAGAGCACCCTTGCAGTGTGAGCTTAGTTTTATGGAATGGATAGAGGCACCTTAGAGGTGTTACCTTCATTTAAACACGTTTGAGGAGCCCCTTCGGGGTGTAAAGTGGTTTAAAAGAGTTAAGTTACATTCTGGTAGCTGGATGTGGATGGTGATCGCTGGGCAGCTGCCGTGACAGAGTAGCTGTCCCAGTGGACATGACAAAGTAAAACCGTATCGAGGGAAATCATGTTTGTACTTTTATAAAATGTATTTAATTGTTTTGTATAATTAATTTAAATTTTTTTATTAGCTCACTTGCTCCCGCCCCTAACTAATTAGCTAACAACTCCAAGAACGCCAAGTATTCGCCCACTCTCTTACGAGAAAACCCCATGAGTATATATAATGCAGATATATATCACATATGCCTACAAATACGCAATATTTATATACATACGCTGAGCTGAGAGGATTATTCCTTGTGCTAGTCCTTTTAAAATGTTAACCTACTTAAAGCTAGCCTGTAATAAAATCGAATGAAACACTACAACTAATTGTACAAATGCCACGTATTTATTTTATTTTTATTAATCCCCTGAATAAACAAACATTAGAAAAATTGCAATTCGTTCGTTTGTGTGTCGGATTCCAGGAGGTATTGAAATGTATTTGGAAACCTGCATTTAAGCATTATTTTAATAGGTTAAGCCAATTTTGGGGCCTTTGTGCAAGGGGGGCTAAAAATAAATACGTTTATTGGTTGCAACCAAACGGAAAACTTTTATTTTTTTGAGTGATTTAACTTGCAAAATTGTAAGCTGTAGCTCTATTTCGAGCAGAGTTTTATTATACGAAAAATTATATTTTTGCAGGTTCTTAAACCAGCAATATGTGGTATTTAGCTAGTTAACGTGTAGTCAGTTTTCAATTTGCTGCTATTATTTTGGCCTCAGCAGTATCTGCGGTTAGCGAATGCACACACCACAGTTAGCGAGCATACACACCGCAGTTAGCGAGTGTCCACACCAAATCTAGCGCGTATACACACCACGGTTAGCAAGTACCCGCACCACATTTAGCGACTTCACCACATTGTGTATCGATAAGCATGCGCACGCGTTATCGATTTTGATGGATGGTATTTAAAGCGTGTTTGACGCGGTCACACTGGTGGTTTACTTTATTCCGAAAATTTTTTTGTAATTTAGTTATAATAAAACGAAAACAGCATGCCTGACTCCGAGCAACTACCGGAGGGCTGGGAGAAGCGCACCAGCCGCTCCACAGGTAAGCATCAAAAGCACTACCGCTCATGCCCGGCCGCCGGTTGCCCGGCAAAATGCGGAACCGGCACGCTATATTGAACCTGGACATGATTGGCTTTTTGCAGGTATGAGCTATTACCTTAATGTGTACACAAAGGAGTCGCAGTGGGATCAGCCCACTGAGCCGGCAAAGAAGACAGGCGGAGCGGGCGGCGCATCCTCCGGCAGCGGAGATGCCCCAGACGAGGTGCAGTGCCTGCATCTCCTGGTGAAGCACAAGGGCAGCCGGCGTCCCAGCTCGTGGCGCGAGGCGAACATCACCCGCACCAAGGAGGAGGCCCAGATGCTCCTGGAGGTCTATCGCAACAAAATCGTCCAGCAGGAGGCCACCTTCGACGAGCTGGCCCGCTCCTACTCCGACTGCAGCTCCTCCAAGAGGGGCGGCGACCTGGGAAAGTTCGGCAGAGGTACGACCAAGTCACATCTCACAGTGCATTCGTTACTATTTGTTATCAAGGCTCTTAGAGAGCTCAGCATACAGAGCTCCTCGATCTGTGGCCGACTGTGATCAACGTGTTTCCCAGTTGATGATTCTCGTTCGAGTCGCAATCCAGACCAAAGTGGTACAATGTTGAATCAACTTCCCCTAAGATCACTGCTTGTTTTTCGCAAAATCAGCATTGTAGGTTTTCATTTTTTAAATTAGAATTCAATATTTTAGTTTCCTATCCATATTCTTCAAAAGATTATGAATGTGAGAGTAAAATGCAACTTAAATCGAGATATAGACCACTAAGACATGATGGATTGTTAAAATAACAGACAAACACAAGGCAATTGGCTTTGGTGTTCCTTTATCAATGTTGCCCTAAAATTATAATATCCATAAGCTCACAATAGACTTCAAAGTGCTAGGTACTTGTAATCTGCTTAATAGGCCACCCAATCTGACTGTTTCTCATTACCCTTCTCCTCACAGGTCAGATGCAGGCGGCATTCGAGGAAGCCGCCTTCAAGTTGAACGTTGGCCAGCTGTCGGGCATCGTGGACAGCGATTCCGGCCTGCACATTATCCTGCGCAAGGCCTAGACTCATCGAGCACCGACCCCACACAGCACAACTCACGTCACTTCACATAAATAAAACGGAATTTACAGCCATTTCAATATAGAATTATGTATTGTATTTTAAAATGTTAGGTCTTGTCTAAGCTAGAAGCGTTTTTCAGTTGCCAATGTCCAGTTTGGCGGCCAGCAGCTTGGCACCGGGCGTCTTCCGCTCCGCGAGTAGCTGGCTAAGACTCCTCTCGGCCGCGAGGACTTTCTTGCAGTCTTCCAGCAGTGAGGGGCACTCCTCCACCAGCTTCAGCAGGACGAAACAGGCCCGATTTACGCCCAGCCAGGCTTTTAGCTGTAAAGGTGGAAACGTATAAAGAAATGGAAATCTGAGTGAGCCTGTTTACTTTGCGAACGGTTGCTTAAAACTACTTATAATTATACTAAAGTAATGTCGAAGAATCTTGAAATAAACTTTGATCAATTTTACCAACTATTTGAATTGCGTTCACAATTCTTAGAACTAAATGGCAATTTTAAGTACTTACCACCGCGGAGGACAGGTTTTGGACAAGCTGCTGGCTGAATGGAGTGCCCTCTCGCTTGCCATCGTTCTTGAGTATCTTTTTCAATACAATGTGCATCCCGGCCTCCTCGATTCCGGAGACCAATGGAGTGGCTGGCTCCTCCTCCTTTGCCTTTGGCTTTTTGGGCTCTTTTTTAGCTTTCTTCAGCTTGGGTTCGGCATCATCTTCGGCCTCCTCCTTTTGCTCCTTCTCGACTTCTTCATCGTCATTGTCGTCTTCCTCATCTTCATCGTCGCTGCTGCTGTCGACATTGAGCAGTTTTCTGCGCCGCTTGGTGGCCTCGGCTATAATGGCCTCTACATCATTGTGGGGCTTCTTCTTGTCCAGCGGCAGCGGACCGGCGGCGTCTGCTGAAATGCGCCACTCCGGTTGGGCGACGACTTGGGCAAGGGCTGATGCCGCCTTCTCATAGGATTCGCCTTGAACTGAAAGGCAGAGATGCAGATTAAAATGTATATTAAAATAAAAATACATGGCTTTCTTTGGTTAGAAGTGTGCACTCACTGTGATTAAGAATGTCGCCGGTGACCAGACCGATGTGGCTGTTGGACAGCCAAAAGGCGGCATCCTCAGCGATGGACTGTGCAATCGGCGCCTCTATCTGCTCGAGGATCTCCTTGCGACGCAGCTCCTTCTCCTTTTTGCCAAATGCCAGACCCTCCTCAACAGTGCGAATGAACTCTGGATGGAAGCATGTGGTATCGCCCGGAGCCACTAGCCATTGAATCACTCGTCGACCGTACTGGTTGCTCATCAGCGCCTTAAGATCCCCGTGTAGGTGGTCGTAGATTGCCTTCTTAGTTGCTTTAGTGTCGTCCAGGGCGTTTAGCAGCGAGATGAGGAACACGTGGCCATGCTCGTGGGTGGCGATCTTGAGCAGGTGCTCCTTAATGTTCTTGATGATGGCCTGTGGAAAGGTTTAAAATATATATTAGACTCTACTTCATTACCACACGGTATGTATTATGCACTTACTCTGCGGTTCTTGGGCGTCGACTTGTAGAAGCATATAACACCCGCTTCGCTGCCCTCCTTGGTGGACAGCATGTGGGGCACTAGAGCCGCAAACGCAGTGACCGTCTCCTCCAGCTTCTCCTCATCTTCGTCGCAGGCGCGCAGGTACTCCAGCATTACGGCGTGCACCAGCGAACTGTCCACCAGCTGCTTGTTGGCCACATGATCCAGGTTTGCTTTAACCGATCCCAAAATGGAGGCCTTCATGTTCGTGGCCTCCTTATACGTATCGCTCAGAGTCTTTACATTTGAATCCTTGGCCTTCCGGTACAGATCGCCGTAGAACTCCTGGCGCATGAAGGTGCGCTGCTTCGGTGTGGCGCTCTGGTACATCGTGTCCAGCAGCCCACTGCCGATGTTGTGTCCAGCCAAACGCACTATATGTCCGTACAGGCTGTCCACCAGCTTTGATTTGGTGGCCGGGGCACCGTATTTGAGCATCCGCTGCACACAGAACTGGGCGTACTTTGACTGGCACATGTCCACGGTGAAGGGAAGCAGCTTCTCGGAGATCTCGGCCCGCAAAGCTGGCGACGCGTACTTTAGCATGCTCTGGATCACGCGGGCGGTGTCGTGGGCCTTCACCACCTTCGAAATGGTGTCGCCCACGTTGAGCACCTTGTAAATCTGCTCCACCAGCTTGTCCTTGTTCTCCGTTCGGCGACTGCAAGACGAGCACCAAATGATGTTAGTACATTTCAAACTAATAGGAATTTCGCACTTATTAATTACTATTTTCAAATAAAAACGCGCTAGGGCTTGGAATTGATATGTTTGTAACCCTCGTATGAAAATAGCTTGCGCTTCCCTTTTTGGTTCCAACTTCAAGCCCTTAGAGTTCCCGAGATCTCAAATATACAGACATACAACATTAATGGATACTACTTTATCCCTAGAACTATCTATAACTTTGTTAAGAACTCAAACAAAATGTGTGTTTTTGGTTTCGAGCTTAAATTGTTTTGGCAGAAGCACTTTCTTTATAACTACCATGCTTCTGCTTCGTTTTGGGTGCTCATGCCCATATATGTATGTTACTAACTAACTAAAAACCAGGAAGCTATATCGTACGGATGCCTAATGAAAATCCAAAACGTGAACAACTTTTCACGTTTTAAGTGCAGAATAAGTACAGAAGTGTTAAGTTAAACTAATTTTGGACGCTCTACGGATGATTATTTCAGATTGTTGTCATATCTGTTTGGGCTGTCCCTCGTGTTTTTGGATAGTCTCACCATCGCAGCTTCTCGTGGATCTGGTTGGCCTCCTTGCTGATCTCGTAAGTGTCCTTGGCGCTCTTGCGCTTCAGCTTGAGGTCCTTCTTCTCCTTTTTGAACTTGTTCCAGTCCTGTTTCTCGCCCTCCGCCGGCGCCTGTGGCTGTGTTTGTGGTTTGCCTCGGAACTTGTTGCCCTCGGCGAACTTGTTGCCGCCAAGCCTTTTGTCGCCGGCTGCTCCGGACTTGTCAAACTTTCTGAAGCCCCCGGACCCTGACTTGTCGAACTTCCTGGCACCACCAGCGCCGGATTTGTCGAATTTCTTGGCGCCTCCAGCTCCGCCGGGCTTAAACTTCTGTCCATTGGCGGGCTTGCCCGGCGATTTGTTGGCCTTGAAGGGCGAGGCCGTTTTGGCCACGTTCGCAGGTCCTTTCGGCTCCGAACTAACCATCTTTTCTGCGTGTTTTTCCGACACTTAAACTAACTTATAGCAAATATTGTTGCCAAAAAAACGAACTACACGTGCTGCTGACGCAGAGTGACCAGAAGGGTGCAATATACCCAAACCATGTTAATAATACTGAGTGCGGTATTTTCGTTACCGATACAGTAAACACCTATGAGGTACTTTAATTTCTTTAAGGCTCAGTTCAAAAACAAAGTGGATTTAATTAAACCGTATGGACCCTTTGATATTTTATTTGAAAGGAGCCAGGCGCCTAAAATATAATAATGTGCGTTAAAGTCTGCTGAAACAGAGCTCTACTGATTTTGATAAGAAGTATGACTGAGTCAAATGATTTCACACATTGCCCTTCGTTGCCATATCCATAAATGTATGTATTTTTTCCCAAAAACTTATAAAAATTGGTTTAAAAGCTTAGGGTACTGTATTTTTCAACAACGGAACTTGCCAACACTGGCTTTGCGGGGTAGCACCAGCCGCCGTCGATGGCAACCCTGTCGGGCAGGGTTCACGCACTCGGGCAACCTTGTCGTTGGAGGTGTTCGCGCACGTCGACAACTCTAGCGGCAACAGTTAAAAAATGGTGTGAAACGGCGACGGAGAACGCGGCGTGCAACTGTTGGAAGCCATTGCTTGGTCCTCGTTTTGGTCCCAGGTTCTGGTCCTCCTTTCGATCTCCATCTCCGCCCGGCCACCAGCTCGCCAGCGCACCCACACACCGTTTCCATTGACAGTTCCACATTCACTCCCCCGCCAGCCAGCCAGCCAGCCAGCCAGCCAGCGAACAACAACAACAACAACATCAACAATAGCAGCAGTAGCAGCAGCAGCAGCAGGAGGAGTAGCTCACAACTCGAAACGAATCTCGGAACTCCTGCGACTCCCCCGCGAAATGGGCACCATCTCATCCGTGCTGCAGTGGTCGTGCACCAAGTGCAACACGATCAATCCCACGGAATCGCTCAAGTGCTTCAACTGCGGCACCGTCCGCAAGGTGTTCCCCCAACAGCAACAGCAACAACTGCAGCATCAGCAGCAGCAGCAGCATCGAAGGGTCACCGCCTCCTGGACAGCTGACGATGCACTGGAGCAGGAGCAGGCGGAGAAGGAGCAGGAGAGGGACAAGGAGAAGGGCAGGGCGGCGGTTGCCAGGTAAGCTAAGCGGTCGCCACAAAAACAAACAGCCTGTGCCTCCTCTGCGAGGATGTGCGCGTGTGTGTGTGTGTGTCTGTGTCTCTGTGTGTGCCCGTGTGCGTGTGGGCGCCAGTGGTGGCATCCAATTGGAGGACAAAAATGCTAGCTAAAAGCACGTCGGCTTCCAGAAACGCATTTTGAAATGTCTATGGAAATCGGTGGCGTTTTCAAATGCAGCTTTTTTCCGCACACCCATTCTATGTATACTTTGAAAAACGTTTTCAAGTGAAGTACGAAAATACTTTCTTCGACACAATTCTTCACACAAAACATCAAATTTAGGGGGCAGAACTTTCAATGAATAATATTAGCTAACGGTTACCAATGCGAACTAATTTTCGGTACATTAATATTCAAAGGCAGTCCTAGTAAATCCCAGTAAATAAATTTGATAGTTCTGAGTTCATAAGCCCTTTTGTACATAGTGAAACTTAAAGAAATAGCAGAAATATATTGGGATTGTTATTCAAACAATGAAAACTGTTAGGAAACTGATGAATTATTATTATTAATTTTTAAGAACAAGAGTTTCGAAAGACTAGGGAAACGAGTGATGAGTGCATTGAGTATCAGCTACGATGGTCGGCGCCTAGTTCTAAAAGCCTAGCTTTAAAAGCCAAGCCGTCTGCACTAACGATTGTC